TTTGCAACCTTGCTTTACAAGATTCCAAATGAACTTACACTCTATTTTTTTGTAGATTAGGTATTTTGTAAAAATCCAGGAAAAGCTAAAAATGCCACAACTGGCATCTAGAGCAGAGGGATTATTTGAAACTACAGTTATATAAATTACCTTTTCAAGTTTGAGAAGTTTGTATATGTATATACAAGTACCTCAAGAATGAAAAATACATTTATTCCATACGATCAGCCCAAAAATAAACATATTTGCAGCTTTTAGCGTAAGAAGATTAGCCAAAAAATATTCTACCATCTTACTTTTGATTTGAGTTAAATGTTCTAAAATAAAGGTACCTATAGTGGATCAGTCATTCTCTAAACAGCCATTCTAAAAACTGTGTTTAAGATTTTAACAAAAAAACAGATGCAAGATTTTTAAATGAGAAAGTAATACGAAGTACTATTTGTTACTTGAAGTATATATAGGTGATAAGTTCACTGTCCAAACTAGATATCTTTTAATTTTACCTGTCACTCTAAAAAATGTTATTAATATTAATATTTAAAGTTGTTATAGAGATTTGAATGTTTTAACAAGTGATCATGGAATGAACGTGATCACAGAATGAAATCAGTTTGTTATACTCCGTAATGTTTTATCAATATAAGTTGGATAATGAAAACAAAAAATGACCTTTTTATGATATTAGACATTACATGCAGCCAAAATCCACAACTTGAAGGAAAATCCACATGTTTTAAATGTATGACATTAAGTACCGATCATCTCATTGGTTTTAAATCGGGCAACTAAGGTTTATAGAAGCCTGGTGTCACCACCTAAAAAATGCTTAGATAAATTTTCAAAAACAGGAAAAAGAAAAACTGTTGTTTTATAAATAAAAAATGTTAGACTATATACCACTTTTAAGATGAGCTGATGTTCATGCTCAACATATCACACAATAGATAACACTTGGAAGCATGTATCATTAACTATTATAGAAAAAGATATAAACATGTTTCAACGTAGACATCATTAGCTTGTGTTTCCAGTAAAAGACTTATTATGACCAAAACGAGTGTACAACATTCAAGTGTAAAAGACTTATTCAAGTCATAGTTGATGGAATATTGGATTATTGGATGTGGTTATTAAATATAAAAAAATGGACAAACGTGATAACCTTTTTAACAAATTAGCTTGTGATTTTTCCCAAAAAAATCTGATTCAATTACTTTAAACTTATAGATTTGAGTACACAAATACACCATGTTCCCCCCACCAGGGAAAGTCCTCTGTATCAAATACCTAATAGGTAGACTTCTTATCCAATAAAAACCATTTAAAACAAACAAATGTCGTATATAGTTTAAATTTATACCCAAAATAGAGTTTGGAGAGTACCCATTGGTCGTCGGTAAGGTCGACACACCACTCAAATGCATTGGTCATGTACACCAGTCCGCAAACACACCATCCGCAGCTAGGGTTTCGCTCGGTTCAGGCCCAACATACAGCCCATCATTGCTACATGTATGTGACGCATCATTCCAGTGCCAGTTTTGAATTTTGAAAAGCAATCATCGGAAAACAGCAGATTCAATGTTAGCTCTGTGGTGTGAAGTTAAGAGGAAAAACGACCCGTGGTAGGCGGAGTTAGGTTGGACGGATAGATGAATGGGCGGCGATAGGAAAAACACCGCAACCATTCTCATCTTTATCTGGTTCCTATTCTACATTTAACTATTCTATCATATTCATGTATATGATTTTGTGAGCTCTAGGCTTTGAAAAATATACATATGATGAATTTGGAAAACCATAAAATGACTCCAGAAAACCAATTAACATTTTACTTATTCTACTGGCCGGAATTTTCACATACAAACTGAAAAGAATAACAACTTGACGATAAACCCATTTGCACGTAAATACACTTACTTGGAACTTCGAAGCAGTATGAGTGCACAAGAATTAGTTCATCGATGGAGATGGACACGACCACATCATGTCATTGTCAAATCCCTACAATTTCGTTATCCACCATGGCTGCCTTCTATCGCGATTCAAAAATGAAACCCTAAGCGCAAATGATGTACGAACAATTTGAATAATGGGACTTCAGCATCAACGTTGGAAAAAATATGCCATATCTACCAGTTGGTATACCGTGGGAGCAGCCCATGGTGAGCATGGTGCTCCCACAGCTAATTCACGCGTGAACAGTATCACGCGTGAACAGTAACCTTTTTATGTTCCAAGTAGCAGGGTGATGTAACTTGTGTGTAATGAGATGTAACTCCTGTTAGTATGTAATGTAACTGCAGGCAAGTTGCGATGTAACTTTTCTAATACGGAGAAGAAGAAATAAAACCTTGATTTCAATGTAAACAATGAAAAAAAGTAGTCTAATTGCTCAATTACTTTACATAAGTAGTGGATATGTTTTTTTAATGTTAAATCCATGATTTTTTTTAAATATCTTTTTTTTTTGCCAAAAAATCATTTTTTTTTTGCAAAAAAAAATGAATTTTTTGTTTCGATAGTTGGGGTTTATTTTGGTATGTAACTAGTGTTATGGAAAATGTAACTCATGTTGATGAGAAAATCTAACTTAGGTGTATGCAAAATGTAACTTAGCTTGTTGAAGCAAGCCAATGTAACTCGTGCACAAGGGGATGTAACTCACGCACAAAAAAATGTAACTCGTTCATAAAAAGATCTAAATTCGTAACTATAGAATTTGTCTATAAACATAACTTACACATATGAAAAATGTAATCTCACGGTGTTTCTAACTTAATGTCTTTAAAAGGCAAAAAACATATAAAAAAGATAATAAATATATTATACAAAAAAGTGAATGAATATAAAAAAATACTTTTTAAAAATATATAAAAATGTAAAAACATTACAAAAAAAATCCGTTAGTAATTTTAGTTGAATAAAAAAGTAAAAAGTAGTGTATGATTATGATATATAATATGCTTATTTTATATGGATTAATAAAATTTTGTAATAAATTGGTAAAGAAAAAAATTAATTCAATTGTAATTTAATTAGTTAAAGATAAAGATAAGTAAGAAATCACAAATAATTAGATGTAACTCGCGCATAAGAATATGTTACTCACGCATAAGAAAATGTTACTTGCGCATAATAAGATGTAACTTGATCATAAAAGATGTAATTTCATGATATATTATCAAATGTAACTTCATGAATCAAAATAAACAAACTCAATATTTAAAAACCTCTCCAACATATAAAAGAGATAATATATATATTATAGAAAAAGTGTATACATATAAAAATATATTACAAAAAAGTGTGTGAATATAAAAAATATATAACAAAAAAAGTGTATGAATATAAAAAATATTACAAAAATAAAAAAGTGTATGGATATGAAATGCAATATACTTATTTTGTTATGTATTTATAAAGAATAAAAAAATAGATTCAATTATAATTTAAGATGAAGATAAAGAAAAGTAAAATTGAAATTAAATTATTACGCAGTAGTAATTTAATTTGATAGAAAAGGAGAAGAATTGAACAAAAGAAAAATAGATAAAGGAAAGGAAAGGAAAAGGAAATAACAAAGCTCCAGACAAAGGAAGTGCAAAAAAGAAACGTAAGTTTCTCTAAAGCGACATCGGCACACCATGCGGAAGGTGGGCCGATATCACGGTATAATTTGCCCATGTCGACATTCAAATAGGAAACTCTTGGCAGATTGGGTTAAAATTAGTACACCTAAGCAACTAACCGGGATATGCAGGTGCTTAGCCGGTCATATGACTTATTTAACTTTATTTTCAGAGTAACTGTACGTGTGTGACTTTTTTTTAAATTTAAGGGGCTTAAGTGTTTGATTATTTTATTGAGGATGAAGGAGAGTCACAAAACCTTTGCATTAGTGGATGACTAGTGTTTATTGAACACCCGTTTATAGAATAGAGAATAGGCAATCTGGTGTACGAAAGACATTTCTGCCGAGTAATAATTCAGGGAATGATCTCACTCAAGGATATATAGACGCAAGTTTTTATCTATCAAATTTTGACAAGAGATCATTCCCAAAAACAAAAACCATACTAATTTCCTCTTTGATTCCACACTACAAAAAAACACGCCATTTGTCACGGATTTTGTCACGGACGGTAGTTCAAAAAATATGTGACAAATGATTTTTTGTCACGGATTTGTCACGGATCCCATCCGTGACACCAGGGGCGTGATAACGTTTTTGTCACGGAAATTAATCCGTGAGATTGTTTGTCACGGATTTGTCACGGCCACGGTCCGTGACAAAACACTTCACCGGAATCCCATCGCCTTTCATTTGTCACGGACGCATCCGTGAATAAATGTTTTTATTTTTCAAAAAAAAATAATTACTTGTCACGGAAATATCCGTGACAAATTAAAAAAAGGTTTTTCAAAATAGAGTGGGCGGGTATTTGAAACGGTCCGGAAAATTCAAATTTTAAATTTTGTCACGGACATATCCGTGACAAAATATTCTGAAAAAAAATTGAAAATTTTAAAATAGAGTGGGCGGGAGCTTTAAAATTTTCAAAAAATTCAAAATTTTGAATTTGTCACGGATCCCATCCGTGACAAAACATTTTTAAAAAAAAAAATACGCTAATTTAGCGTTTTATGTATTTAAAATAAAATGAATTTATATTTTGTCACGGAACAATCCGTGACAAAAGTTTAAATTTTTTAAAAAAAAAATTAAAAATTCAGCGCATTTTTAAAAGCTTATTTCAAAAGTTTATTTAATAAAAATAACCATTAAAATTTAGGCGCTTTTTCAAAAAATTAAACTTAATAATAAATAGTTAAACAATAATCATAATAAATAATTGTTTATAATAAATAATTAAACAATCATCATTAATCACCATTACACATTAGGTATCATAATAAATAATAATCTAATCAAACCATCATTATAAAACACAAATAAACTATTATTTAAACACAATCAAACCATTACACATTAATATTCATACATTAACACATCAAAATTTTAAAATCCTTAAAATGTTAATAAACTAATTATTACAAACCATCAATGGTCATCATAATCAGCATCAGCATCAGCATCAGCATCATCAGGTTCGTCACGATGATCGGGTTGCCTTCCGTGGCCACGGCTGCCACCACGATGACCGCCTCGACTGCCACTGCGGCTGCCAGCACGGCTGCTGCCACGGTAAGCTTGAGCTCCGGGAGTCGGGATATCGTCATAATATCCATATGGAAAGTTGTTGGAGATGTGGCTATAATTAGCAAAACCCCTACTACCCATACTGCCCATATTGCCCATATTGCCCGCGAAGGGAACTTGTGGGGTCATCTCGGGGTGCTGTATGTGCATGGATGGACGGTAGGTGGCGTTGAAAATACGCATTTGGCGTTCCATCTCTTCCAACCTTTCTCTTGTTCTTCTTTGCTCTTCATCCCGTATCCGAGCTTCTTCATCCCGCCTTCGAGCCTCGGCTTCACGTTCTTCCAATAGTTTCTCGAGGCGGGTAACCCGATCATCATATGCCGAATGAGAAGATGAGCTAGCTCCTTTGGTCTTCTCGAGGATCCGTACGCCTTCAGAACCCATAAACGGCACCCGACCCTTGTAAACTCCGGTTGCCGCCAAGATGGCTTCATCATCTTGATTTTCATCAAGTTCGTCATCAGAATCAGCTAGCTCATCAACTCTCTTCCCCCGCTCTTCCTCATATTTTTTCTACAAGTTCAAAATTTTATTATATAAGAGATCTAAAAAATCGAAATTTATTAAATTATGTTTCATTATTTACTTCAATTTCAGAAAGGCAGGGAGGCGGCATGGCACCCTTCTTAGTCCAGCAATGTGCCATGAGTTTCAATGGCGTGACCCGTTTTTTCACGGGTCCAGATCCTTCCTACACGGATTTCAAAGTTAATAAAAAAATATATATACATAATGGTATGGAATGGAAATAATTTTAACTAAATAGAGTTTACCAGATCTTTTTTATGTTGACTTTGGGGTTTGCGGCCCCCGTGCCATTGAACTTCCTTGGCTTTCTCGGAAGCCCGGTTTGCCTTGCCCATTTCACTTCTCAGCAAAAATGAGGCATCCGTAGCCCAGTGGCGGCAAAGCATCTCCCACACATCATCGCCAAGGAACTTTGGCTTTTTACCCGTAGACCGGGCGGTCCTAAAAGTGGGTCTCAACCACCCAGAAATCCTAGAATTGTATTCTTTGAGAATCGCTTGGTCTAGGGCAAAATGCCAACGATGGGAAGGCATTTGAAGTTCGAGAATCTCATGCAAGAAACCAAAAAAATTGGTTTCCGAGTTATCAGAACCGATGGTCGGGACACATAACCCGCTGTTCATTGTTGGTCGACCTTCTCCATATTCAACTGTGTGATACGTATAACCGTTTATCACATATGAATGCCAAACCTTTGCATAGGAAGAAGGGCCCCACGATAATGATACTAACAGAGGGTCGTTAATCCCACGGTACCTGATCTGCAAATTAAAACATGATAACATTAGGTAATGATTAAAAATTACTAGCTAATAGTATATATAATGTATTTATATATATATATATATATAATACCTGCTGTTGGTACCATAATGTAAAGTCAGAGTCCACCATTGCATCAATTGCATCATCAGGAAATGCTGATAAAGACGCTCTAAATTCACTGTGAATTGAACATAAAGATATTATTATAACACTCTAATTATTAAAAAAATATTAGCTATATTACAAATGTAACTACCAATTCAACTTACTTATAAAATGGTAAGATTTCTGGACAATTCATGAGGATGTAAGTATGTGCAATTTTCATTTCTCCGCCCACGATGTAACGGTAAGTCGCAGCTCCTTTACCTCTACCTGGGTAGTTGAAAATAGAAACTACTTTATCATATGAATCCTCGCCAATGTCATCGTTCCGAGCAGGTCTCTTTCTTTTACTGATTAATTCACGCTCAAAATAAAAAGATGAAAACGTTGAGGTTTCTTGTTGAATATATGCTTGACAAATTGAAGCCTCAATGTGTGCCTTGTTGGTCGCTTTCTTTTTCAAATCTCCCAGAAATCTGTCATGCAAAATAAAATTTGTAAACAAACAAATGTTCTTATTAAACAAATCATCGTTTATAAATGAAATTATGACTAACCTTTCAAATCTGTACATCCAACGATAGAAGACGGGCCCTCCATTCAAAGCCTCATACGGAAGATGTATTAGAAGATGTTCCATTACATCAAAAAATGATGGGGGCAGTATCTTTTCCAGATTACACATCAGAATAGGAACAGTGTCTTCTAGTCTCCTCAGGGATTCGGCATCCAAAACGGCGGAACATATCGACTGAAACAATTGATTGATTTCGGTAATACAGCCCCAGACGTCTGCAGGAAGCATCTCTTTCAGTGCAATCGGCAGAAGTCGTTGCATGATTACATGAGCATCATGAGTTTTCATGCTCGACGTCATTGTTTGTTTGTCCAGGTCCACGCATCTTGACAAGTTAGAACAATAGCCATCTGGAAAGTTCAGAGAAACAAGCCACTCTAATATTGATTCCCTTTGTGGGGATGTGAGTTGGTAGACTGCTCTTGGAATTTTTTTACCCACGTATTCTAGATCGACGGCGAGTTCGGGTCTGTCGCACCAAATTGTCATGTCTTTTCTAGATGCAAGACCATCTTTGGTTTTGTGGGTAAAATCCATAACCGTGTTAAATATATTGTCAAAGACGTTCTTCTCAACGTGCATGACATCTAAATTGTTACGAATGAGAAGGTCCTTCCAATACGGCAACTCCCAAAATATACTCCTCTTTGTCCACTTATGGGTATCACAATACCCATTTGGCTCCCCGTGGGGTTGCTGCACGGCCGTAGGAAAACGTCGAACCCGGTTAAAAACTTTTTCACCTGTAAGTCTCGGAGGAGGGGGATCTCGTACCACTCTTCCGGCAATAAAAGACTTCTTGCCCTTTCGATATCGATGGTTCATAGGCAGAAACTTGCGGTGACAATCAAAGTAACTTGGTTTCCCGCTAAATTTGAGCCAATTGGCCTCTGATTGATCCATACATATCGAACATCCCATAAGACCGTGTGTGCTCCATCCTGAAAGCATACCATAAGCAGGGAAGTCGCTAATGGTCCAAATGATGGCAGCTTTCATGATAAACATCTGATCTCTCGAAACATCATAAGTTGGTGTCCCAATGGCCCAAAGTTCTTTCATCTCCTCGATCAGGGGTTGGAGATAGATGTCTATCCTTTTTTTAGGATCCGAGGGACCTGGACAAATTAAAGTTAAAAAGATGAAATGACTTTTCATGCACATGTCGGGAGCAAGATTATAAGGAGTTAACATGACTGGCCAACATGAAAATTTCTTCCCAAACTTTCCAAAAGCAGCAAATCCGTCTGAACACAATCCCAGTCGCACATTCCGTGGCTCCATTGCAAACTGAGGATGACAACGGTCAAAGTGTCTCCAAGCTTCACAGTCGGAAGGGTGAGATATCAAACCCTCTTTGGTTTCGTGCTCAACATGCCACGTCATGTGTTTCGCAGTAGCATTTGAAGCATACATCCTCTGCAGGCGTGGAGCTAGAGGGAGGTAAAACAATTTAGACAATGCAGACCTTTTTCGTGGTTTTTTTCGTCTATGAGGAACATGCTTGTATCTCTCTCCACCACAGAACTTGCAGGTCTCAAGTTCCACATCATCCTTCCAGAACAACATACATCCTTCTGGGCACGCATCAATTTCTATACAAGGAAGCCCCAACTGAGACATTAATTGTTTCATTTTGTAATATGAATCAGGAAGATTATGGTCACGCGGTAACATTCCTCCAAATGACTGCAATAACCTAGACATGCAAGATTCAGGAAGATTGTATTCAGATTTAATGTTCATCAACTCTGTAACGGCGGATAGCTGAGAGTATCCCTCACAATCAGCATACAGAGGCTGATCAGCAGCTTTTAAAACATCTTGAAATCTTTCAGCTAAGTCTTCAATATGAGGAACATGAGAATTCGGATACTCATCCGCAGCAGACTGATAAAAGGTCTGATCTTCATCCGCATCGGGTTGATACGAGGTCGAAGCTTCGGGAAGATCGTTAAATGGCTGTGGTGGGTTAAACTGCATCGTTGAAGCACCGTATACATCATATGCCATTCTTTGATCCCACGTCATTTGATCATAGTCTCCCCATCCACTCATCTCGGTAGGGACGTTACGAGATGAACCCACTGTTTGCGGTAAAAGTGATGGATCGAAAGGTTCGCCATGAGAAGTCCAATTATAATAATTGGCAACGAAACCTTTTTCGTACAAATCCCACACAACTTGGTCGACATCTTTAAATTGAAGATTTTTACACTTAGTACATGGACATCTGATTTTATCTCCATCCATATAATTCTTCTGTTCTTGTGCAAATTTAATAAAATCTTCAACACCATTCAAAAATTCACTGCGTATTCCATAGTTATCGCGATGTTTTTGGTACATCCAACTTCTGTTTTGTCTATACATTATGCCTGTATATATATTATAATCAAAATAATATATAAGTACATTAATATTATTAATTAACTAAAAGCAGTACATTATTTAATTTGTGGCATTAATAATTTGAATTAACCAACTTTAATTTGTGACATTAACTAAAAGCGTTGATTTACTAATATTTAACTAATAGTAATATGTTAATGGCATTAATCGTTTTAATTATTAACTACTAAAGTTTGAATCCTAACTGAAATCACTACAAATCCTAAATTATGCATTAACAATAATTAACTAATAAACAAATTAAACCTAATCATCATCATTGATCAATTAATTAACTAATATTTAAATCTAACTAATATTATCAACTCAAATTCCTCAATGTTTTAACTTAATTAATTAGTTAATTAATTTACATTTAACTAATATTATTGTTAAATATTATCTCATTAATAATTCACAATAATAATTCACAATAATAATTCACAATAATAATTCACACTAAACTAAATAAAAATAAAGTTTCAACCCGGCCTAGCTATATATATTATGCATCCCATTAACAATAATTAACTAATTTAACTTATTAATTAGTTAATTTCCATTTAACTAATATTGTTAAATATCATTAATTCACAATAATATATAATTCACACTTAACTAATAAAGTTTGAATCCTAACTTAAATCACTACAAATCCTAAATTATGCATTAACAATAATTAACTAATTAATAAACAAATTAAACCTAATCATCATCATTGATCAATTGACTAATATTTAAATCTAACTAATATTATCAACTCATCAAATTCTAAACCCATTTCCTCAATGTTTTAACTTAATTAATTAGTTAATTTCCATTTAACTAATATTGTGAATTATTATTGTGAATTCACAAAAATAATTCACAATAATAATTCACACTAAACTAAATAAAAATAAAGTTTCAACCCTAGCTATATATATTATGCATCCCATTAACAATAATTAACTAACTTAACTTATTAATTAGTTAATTTCCATTTAACTAATATTGTTAAATATAATTAATTCACAATAATATATAATTCACACTTAACTAATAAAGTTTGAATCCTAACTTAAATCACTACAAATCCTAAATTATGCATTAACAATAATTAACTAATTAATAAACAAATTAAACCTAATCATGCATTATCATCATTGATCAATTAACTAATATTTAAATCTAACTAATATTATCAACTCATCAAATTCTAAACCCATTTCCTCAATGTTTTAACTTAATTAATTAGTTAATTAATTTACATTTAACTAATATTATTGTTAAATATTATCTCATTAATAATTCACAATAATAATTCACACTAAACTAAATAATAATAAAGTTTCAATCCTAGCTAGCTATATTAATTATGCATCCCATTAACAATAATTGCTAATAAATAATAATTGGTGATAATTAATAACCTAATAATTAAGCTAGCTAACTAATTAATTAAATCACTACAAGTCACTAATTAATTAATCTATAATAAGCTAGCTAATACTTAAATCATCACTACACATCCTAAATTATTATGCATTAATAATAACAATAATTTAACTAATTAATATTTATATTTAAATTTAACTAATTAAATTACGTTAATAGTTTAATAATATATTGTTAATAATATGAAAATTAACATGACCTCACTAAATTACGTTAATAGTTTAAATAAATGAACAATAACTAACCTCACTAATTAATTATTAAGCTAATAATTAATTATTATATAAAGAAAAAATAATCCTAACCTCACTAATAATAATTAATTAATTAAGCTAATAATTAATTTATCACACAATTAAAAGAAATTAATTAAAATGACATACCTTATCAGCATAAACTCGGAAAATGATGAACTGACGGATTACATCATTCAATCTTTAAACCGATACTACATCACTCGAATCTACGAATTTTTGAACTGATTGTTATTCTTGCAATTGTAATGGACGATGGAGTTGGGTTATATAAAAAAATTTGTCACGGATTTGTCACGGATTTATCCGTGACAAATCTTTTTCTGTACCGCATTATTAAAGGTTACCGCTGGAAAATCAATAATTGAGTTTTTTTGAAATTTGTCACGGATTTGTCACGGATGTATCCGTGACAAATCTTTTTCCATACCGTATTATTAAAGGTTACCGCTGGAAAATCAATAATTGAGTTTTTTGAAATTTGTCACGGATTTGTCACGGATTTATCCGTGACAAATCTTTTTCTGTACCGCATTATTAAAGGTTACCGCTGGAAAATCAATAATTGAGTTTTTTTGAAATTTGTCACGGATTTGTGACGGATGTATCCGTGACAAATCTTTTCCCATACCGTATTATTAAAGGTTACCGCTGGAAAATCAATAATTGAGTTTTTTGAAATTTGTCACGGATTTGTCACGGATTTATCCGTGACAAATCTTTTTCTGTACCGCATTATTAAAGGTTACCGCTGGAAAATCAATAATTGAGTTTTTTTTGAAATTTGTCACGGATTTGTCACGGATGTATCCGTGACAAATCTTTTCCCATACCGTATTATTAAAGGTTACCGCTGGAAAATCAATAATTGAGTTTTTTGGTTTCGTGCTCAACATGCCACGTCATGTGTTTCGCAGTAGCATTTGAAGCATACATCCTCTGCAGGCGTGGAGCTAGAGGGAGGTAAAACAATTTAGACAATGCAGACCTTTTTCGTGGTTTTTTTCGTCTATGAGGAACAGGCTTGTATCTCTCTCCACCACAGAACTTGCAGGTCTCAAGTGCCACATCATCCTTCCAGAACAACATACATCCTTCTGGGCACGCATCAATTTCTATACAAGGAAGCCCCAACTGAGACATTAATTGTTTCATTTTGTAATATGAATCAGGAAGATTATGGTCACGCGGTAACATTCCTCCAAATGACTGCAATAACCTAGACATGCAAGATTCAGGAAGATTGTATTCAGATTTAATGTTCATCAACTCTGTAATGGCGGATAGCTGAGAGTATCCCTCACAATCAGCATACAGAGGCTGATCAGCAGCTTTTAAAACATCTTGAAATCTTTCAGCTAAGTCTTCAATATGAGGAACATGAGAATTCGGATACTCATCCGCAGCAGGCTGATAAAAGGTCTGATCTTCATCCGCATCGGGTTGATACGAGGTCGAAGCTTCGGGAAGATCGTTAAATGGCTGTGGTGGGTTAAACTGCATCGTTGAAGCACCGTATACATCATATGCCATTCTTTGATCCCACGTCATTTGATCATAGTCTCCCCATCCACTCATCTCGGTAGGGACGTTACGAGATGAACCCACTATTTGCGGTAAAAGTGATGGATCGAAAGGTTCGCCATGAGAAGTCCAATTATAATAATTGGCAACGAAACCTTTTTCGTTCAAATCCCACACAACTTGGTCGACATCTTTAAATTGAAGATTTTTACACTTTGTACATGGACATCTGATTTTATCTCCATCCATATAATTCTTCTGTTCTTGTGCAAATTTAATAAAATCTTCATCACCATTCAAAAATTCACTGTGTATTCCATAGTTATCGCGATGTTTTTGGTACATCCAACTTCTGTTTTGTCTATACATTATGCCTGTATATATATTATAATCAAAATAATATATAAGTACATTAATATTATTAATTAACTAAAAGCAGTACATTATTTAATTTGTGGCATTAATAATTTGAATTAACCAACTTTAATTTGTGACATTAACTAAAAGCGTTGATTTACTAATATTTAACTAATAGTAATATGTTAATGGCATTAATCGTTTTAATTATTAACTACTAAAGTTTGAATCCTAACTGAAATCACTACAAATCCTAAATTATGCATTAACAATAATTAACTAATAAACAAATTAAACCTAATCATCATCATTGATCAATTAATTAACTAATATTTAAATCTAACTAATATTATCAACTCAAATTCCTCAATGTTTTAACTTAATTAATTAGTTAATTAATTTACATTTAACTAATATTATTGTTAAATATTATCTCATTAATAATTCACAATAATAATTCACAATAATAATTCACACTAAACTAAATAAAAATAAAGTTTCAACCCGGCCTAGCTATATATATTATGCATCCCATTAAAAATAATTAACTAATTTAACTTATTAATTAGTTAATTTCCATTTAACTAATATTGTTAAATATCATTAATTCACAATAATATATAATTCACACTTAACTAATAAAGTTTGAATCCTAACTTAAATCACTACAAATCCTAAATTATGCATTAACAATAATTAACTAATTAATAAACAAATTAAACCTAATCATCATCATTGATCAATTGACTAATATTTAAATCTAACTAATATTATCAACTCATCAAATTCTAAACCCATTTCCTCAATGTTTTAACTTAATTAATTAGTTAATTAATTTACATTTAACTAATATTATTGTTAAATATTATCTCATTAATAATTCACAATAATAATTCACACTAAACTAAATAATAATAAAGTTTCAATCCTAGCTAGCTATATTAATTATGCATCCCATTAACAATAATTGCTAATAAATAATAATTGGTGATAATTAATAACCTAATAATTAAGCTAGCTAACTAATTAATTAAATCACTACAAGTCACTAATTAATTAATCTATAATAAGCTAGCTAATACTTAAATCATCACTACACATCCTAAATTATTATGCATTAATAATAACAATAATTTAACTAATTAATATTTATATTTAAATTTAACTAATTAAATTACGTTAATAGTTTAATAATATATTGTTAATAATATGAAAATTAACATGACCTCACTAAATTACGTTAATAGTTTAAATAAATGAACAATAATTAACCTCACTAATTAATTATTAAGCTAATAATTAATTATTATTATATAAAGAAAAAAGAATCCTAACCTCACTAATAATAATTAATTAATTAAGCTAATAATTAATTTATCACACAATTAAAAGAAATTAATTAAAATGACATACCTTATCAGCTAAACTCGGAAAATGATGAACTGACGGATTACATCATTCAATCTTTAAACCGATACTACATCACTCGAATCTACGAATTTTTGAACTGATTGTTGTTCTTGCAATTGTAATGGACGATGGAGTTGGGTTATATAAAAAAATTTGTCACGGATTTGTCACGGATTTATCCGTGACAAATCTTTTTCTGTACCGCATTATTAAAGGTTACCGCTGGAAAATCAATAATTGAGTTTTTTTGAAATTTGTCACGGATTTGTCACGGATGTATCCGTGACAAATCTTTTTCCATACCGTATTATTAAAGGTTACCGCTGGAAAATCAATAATTGAGTTTTTTGAAATTTGTCACGGATTTGTCACGGATTTATCCGTGACAAATCTTTTTCTGTACCGCATTATTAAAGGTTACCGCTGGAAAATCAATAATTGAGTTTTTTTGAAATTTGTCATGGATTTGTCACGGATGTATCCGTGACAAATCTTTTCCCATACCGTATTATTAAAGGTTACCGCTGGAAAATCAATAATTGAGTTTTTTGAAATTTGTCACGGATTTGTCACGGATCTGTCCGTGACAAATGCCCGGAAGCAAAAAAGTATTCACCGGAGTAAAAAACCGGTCAGCATAAACTCGGAAAATGATGAACTGACGGATTACATCATTCAATCTTTAAACCGATACTACATCACTCGAATCTACGAATTTTTGAACTGATTGTTGTTCTTACAATTGTAATGGACGATGGAGTTGGGTTATATAAAAAAATTTGTCACGGATTTTGTCACGGATAAATCCGTGACAAATAATTTTCGTGACAAATCCCAGAATTCCGTGACCAAATCCGTGACAAAATATTGTCACGGATTTTGTCACGGATAAATCCGTGACAAATAATTTTCGTGACAAATCCCAGAATTCCGTGACAAAGCCCGTGACAAATTTGTCACGGCCGGTATCCGTGACAAAAATCCGTGACAAACGGCGTGTTTTTTTGTAGTGTCATTCAGTTGAGTTTGGTTCAGATTCGTTATTTTTTAATAATATATGAAGATTTTATTGATTTTATTTAATTCAGTTTGATTTTGTTCAGTTTTTATCGGTTTGATTCAATTCGATTTAACACGGTTTGATAGAAATTACTAAACTCAAACCAAATTGCATATGATCCGGTTTCAATTCGGTTTAATTCGATTTGATACGGTTCAGTTAAATCAAACGAATTTGCTCATCCCTATCCTAATTGGTGTGCCAAAGCTTTCTCAATATGCTAACAGGGCTAATATTATTGCACTAAAATTCAACTTTAAACAAGTGCAACAATTTAGTGATATGTTAGCTAGTGCAACGTCCAATTATTTTACTTTACTTATTATTCAATCACGATCACTGTCGTATCAATTACACAATTATCCGTTTGATATTTTTAAGTATTTAAAATGATTTTAAATCTATAAGTCAAGGGAAAATCTTCAATTTGATTGAAGACATCTTAACGAAGATATGCAGGAAGCTTCACGTCGTCAAGGCGTCACGCTAGCTAATCACTATACGGGTTTGATAGACAAAACTACATTATTTATGTGGAGTCGGTATATATATGTATCATATGTAAGTACTTTGTTAATTTATATGGAGCATATATATATATACACAATTTAGATAAAATGAGAACAATATTTAAGAAAGGAAATGAGAATGAGTGTGACGGAGTAGATTTTAAAATTCTGTATGAATGTATGATTTTAAGTAGAAATATCGTCATATCTTGCACTGCCATGAATAGGAAATTAAGATGGGATGATATTTTTACCAAAAAAATCATTTTCTACTAATTTGAATTATGCATTATGGCACCTTTAACATATGCAGACTGCTAGTGGGCATGATATATACATGCACTGATGCATGGTTGTTTAGAATATATAAAAGTGAAGTGAAAAGTGTATCCAAAAACGTGTGCGTATTAGCAGTATTTTGACACCCACCGTTTACATGAGAGTTGGGGGTGGACAACAATTCCGGTCTGGTTATCTCATTCTCATATATCCCAAAATCGTACATTTGAGACGTAACCATGGTTTTGCCCCGCACTGGTCCTGTATCGGTTTAATTCGTTTAAACCTAGACATGACTCGGAGATGAGAAGGTTATCCCGAACCGTCTCATTGTCTCATTTGTAAAAACTATATATATAGTGTTTTAATTTAGCATGTGACTAGGTGGTACTGCCAACGTACTCAAAAAATAAATGATACGAGTAATATGTGTTTAGTTTTTCAAGCTCAATTTTTAAGTTAAAAATGATACTTAGCATAAATACATACTAACTTAGGTTTTTATCTCACTTTATATATTAACATTTGAGTATCTCATGACTGGAACACATAATTTTGAATTAATAATTAATTCATTTTTGCTTTGTTTTAAATTTTAGTTTCAATTTTTGCTAAACCTGATTAAAATGTAATAGCTTTAGGTTTTCCTAAATAGATGACTTGTGATGAATACCAGTTGACTTTTAAAATGTGCATATTTGGGTAATTACAAATGATGATTTTTTGTATATACTGAATCATCCGGCCGGCCTGGTCCTAAACAGGGCGGTTACCCCGTGGTTCTACATGTTATCCGTTGAGGTGGTTAAGATTTGGGAAAAATTACCCATTGAGTATTAGGATGGTTATGGGACAGGGGAATTGCCAAACAGAACAGGTACCATTATATTATATGTAAAACTCTCCCGATTCGCGCCCCATTATGATCCCTAACTCCAATCCCGAATCGCCCCGACCCGAGATTACAGCACTCGTTCTCATCACGGTTTGAAAAGTTGACTTTGGGAGTTTATTTTTTTATTTTGTTGTGTTGGGACGAGCGAAGCATCAGATTCGACCTAGCTGGATTGCTGGTGACCTTTGGTCTGCCATGACTATGACAGCAATTCTTTGAATGCACGATCATAGATCACACAGCTACGAATTACCACATCATTATAATTATTGTACCAATGATTTTTGTAAAAAAAAAAAGGATGTCATCTCATTCGTGAGGTCTCCCAACCTCGATCGGACGGTATGTTGGAAAGATGTAAATTGGACTACAATCTCAATTTTACAGATAGAGAGTGAGGCTCTATCCCCGGTACTTGCAGAGGCCCTATGCATTTTTAGCATAGTAACTCATCATCGCAGTTGTCGGGATTCGAACTTGAGACCTAACCCTTGTGGAACTCTCTTGTTAACAGTTAAGCTACGCCCACCGGTTTGTACCAAATGTTGGGTGGGAAAAACGAGTTATTCTAAGTGTACCAAAAAATGTACACTCATTGTATGAAAAAAAGGACACACGTTAGTATTTACTTGTTTTTCCGAAATTTAGTCAAGTTTAATTGGCATGAAAAATAATAAAATAAAAACATTATGATTGAAATTTGTATAGTGTAGAGATAATTAAGTGGAACAATAAAATGATTACTTAAAAAGAAAATGGCAAAATTACTGGGACAAAAGAAAAAAGAAAATCTATAAATTTTAAGGGACATATGAAGTATATAATATGGAGTAATTCATGATTTTTTCTAAGAGGATGTTTGGAACTAATTTTGCTTCCGTTTCTTTTTTAAAGCAAAATCAGAATCAGTTCAGAAGCTGGCCCCCAGCTAGCTTCTAAAAAACTTATTCCACGGGTACATTAGAGTACCAGAATCACTTCTTTACTTTCACTCAAACACTCCAACTTGTGCTTCTATTCGTTGAAAGAGAAGAAGCAGTTTTAAAAATTAGATCCAAACACCCCCAAATTAGTTGACTGTGGAACAATCTATTACTTTCTTTGTCGATGAAATCTTTGTCCGATTTTACTTTTTTCCGTCAGTACTGCTAAGTTTGTCACATACTTTATTTGATAAAAATTCAATGATTAGAATCATTCATATATTAATTTATTTACACTGTCAATTTATTATCAAGCACACGATTTAATTTTGTTAATAACTGCATCATTATGTTTAGTCTCATTAATGTTAGGAGGCAAAAGTAACGATATTTACTAAAAACTACCTCTTTAAGTGTTTTGATGTTTATAGTTTTTGATGTTTTGTTGTGTTGCATCTCATATCAATACCCTAACTACATCAAATGACACAATCTTCGATAGGTTTCGATGATATCACATCCAGTACCCACCTCTAAATCTTATTCCATGTTGAGGTCGGATTAGTCAAAAAAAAAATGCGACTCTTATTTTCCAGTAAACAAAAACGTTTATTTGCCTATTTATGTGTCCTATTATCTTTATCACATCTTTCTTAATTTGTTCATCCTGTCTATTTAATACCATATTTGATAATCATATATAGTTAAAACCAATAACAATTACATATATAGTTAGGTTTACCTTAATATTCATACAACTTCTTCATGTCTTGATCTTAATGGGGTCTGATATAAGTTGCTTCGATCCACACTCTAGAGGATGGGTGGATATCCAATTCAAATTTGAAGATGATCGGGCAAAAGTTTACAGGGAGGTGCCTTATTATAATGTTTTATGCATGAAAATGATATGGAGTATGTGAGAGGTTTTAGATTTGACGATGAGGAATTCCCCATTTAGTAAAATTTCATGGGCTACGCATAGGCTACTGGAGTTATAAGGACTGAGGACATCATCACTAAGGTCAATTCTAAACGTGGAGTTCTCATTTGCCTAGAAAGGGTGAGTAATGAGAGAAGTAGATTGACTTATGGGGCCTGTTTGGTTTGGGGTAATCTAACATGAAGGCTGGAATGTGATACATGGTATATCAGATGCTCATGTTTGGTTCACAGGTTTGACAAAATTCGGAAAAGTTACATTCCCGGGAATGTAATATGGAGGAGAATCTTATAACCATCCATGCCTTAGGTTATCTGACATTCTCGGGGATGGTCTAGATTTCTTCCGAAAATACCCTCAATTAATTATCTCTTTTTATTTAATTTCTTTATATAGTGCGATTTTATAAAACTTTTAATATAGTTTCTAAATATGTAAATTTTATTTACTAAAAAATAATCTTATTATTGAAAGAGATCAGTTAATTTTATGATCAGTGATGGAGTATATGGCCCGGGAACCCCCGGCCCACAGACTCCTACTACTCCTTTAGAGGCCCAACAGGCCCAAAAGGTCCAACAGGCCCAAATCACAGTGCCCAGAGTACCAAGCAGCCCACACTACGCGCCAGGGGTGCCTTCGGCCCCCTGGCCGAAGGCTCTAAACTCTCGCAGAATGGGTTTCTCAAGCAAATTAAGAAACTCGGAGAAAAACGGCGAAAACAGTAGCCCTCGGCACTATGAGCCCTCGGCACCAGGGTGCCATCGGTTGGAGGAGCCCTCGGCCACTGCTCTATGGCCGAAGGCATCTCACTCGACAAGATATCCGCCTCACATGCGTACAGATCACCGTACCCCGCACAGACGTCCCATCCAACAGCCGCATTAAATGCGGCCACATGCGGCTGCCAGCGCCAACCAGTTGAGGTGACCCCTCGGCCAATGAGCGCTTGACACGTGTCCCTGCCCGGCATTTATTGCTACTATAAATAGCACCCCATTTCCCCATTTGTAACCACGTTGAAAACGGCATTCATACTGAATACACTCTCTCTCTACTTTTACTTACTTGCTCTGACTTCTCTCTAAGTTATTCCCCGTAATAACCCTTCAGATATATACCCCCGGGTAGACTATCCATCATTTGGTGCTCTCGTTGAGAGCTCGAACAATCGAGTAAGAAACCCTCCCCCTCGACCAAACACAAAACACTAGCCCTCTATCAAAATGGTGAGAACAACACGTGCCAACTCAAAGAACGTAGAAGACAAGAACCTGGCCCTCGGCGACGTCAACGCCCCCGAAGCCTCTCACAGGGCTCCCGAGGGCGGTGTCATCGCCGGGCTGGAACAGGCGGCTGTCGACCTACGCCTTCAGATCCAATAAAATGCCCCCGATGCCCGCCTCGGCATCGAGGCCAAGAAGAAAAACCGGAGCGATGACCAAGTCAGCCCTCCGGTTCTCACCATCGACGTGCAATCGGCGCTCTCCGCCTTCATCCAAACGCTCACCCAGAACCCGGGTGCTTTCGGCACCCTGGCTCCAGCTCACCCTCAGGTTGGGGAAAACATCATACTTCCCCCTCTGCCACACCCCTTCGGAAATCCCACCCCTCGGGTGAGGAACGACGAGGGTGTGGTGGCCCAAGATACGTCCTCCCAGGAAGTTCAGTCCCGGGACCGCCATAATGACAACAGGGAAAGGCCTCGTACTTCCGCCTTCAACCGGCTCGGAGGAGGGCCAGACCGCCGAGGGGTCCAAGACCGCCTCGGGGGGAAAGTACTCCAAAGGCCCCAGGAAAGCGGGGGATCTGTTTCGAGGGCAGACGAGGAGCGTCCCCCTCGGGACAAAGGCAAGGCACCCCTTCATGCCGATGACGCTCGCCACCAGATCTACCAGGCCCACTGGGCCCGGGTTCGTTCGCAGGGGGCGGAGACCCTCCCGAAGGATCCCCGGGACGAGATTATTGCGGCCCTCCAACGCCGGCTAGACGAGATGGAGTCCAACAAAGCTCACGCCGCCACCTCCACCCCTCATTCAGATCTCAAATACGAGGCCATGATGGCCAAAATGGAGGAGTTACAAAAGAAGGTGGCCGAGGGCTCCGGAGAACCCGTCATCCAGCTCCGGACTCGGACGCCATTTACCCCAAGGGTATTGGCGGCCCGGATCCCGGAGAAATACCGAGGGCAACACATACAGCCCTACAACGGGAAAACGGACCCCCATGAACATTACAGCAAGTACTAGAACAGCATGATGATGGAAGGGGCGTCGGACGAATATTTGTGTCGTTGGTTTCTCTCCACCTTAGAGGGGCCGGCATACGAATGGTTCAACAGGCTGCCCGAGGGCTGTATTGATTCATGGCAAGAACTCGCCCAGCGATTCTTGACACAATTTGCCGGGAGGCGTCGCACAAGGAAGCACTTCTCCCACCTCCTAACAATACGCCAGAAAAGGGATGAGACCCTTCGGGACTTCCTAGAGCGCTGGAGGACGGAGGCCGACAAGGTCGACGGTGCTGATGACGGGACCCTCCTGGCCCTCCTACAAACCGTCCTCCGCACCGGCAACTTTTCAAGGAGCCTCATCATTGAACCCCCCCGCGACTACATAAGGGCTTTGCAGCGGGGGGACCGATATGCTGAGGCCGAGGAGGTGGAGAAGTATCACCAGTTTCCGGACCAGCAGCCCCCGAGGGCTGACAACAAGCATAACCGAGGGCCGGGGGCTCCTCCAAATCACCCCAAGACTTCGGGACCCTCTGATGACCGCCCTCGGCAAGGCCAAGCCAAGCCCGGGGGAGGTTATACGAGCAACCCTAAGACTTGGGCACAGCCCATTCTCCTGGACCGCCCTCGGACACCACTGACGCACCCCGTCAGCATCATCCTCGATTTTGCCGAGGAGAGGGGCCTCGTTGAGCGCGACTCTCGCGCTCCCCCGGAGGTACACGCTATCAACCCTCAGTTCCCCTACTGTCGCTTCCATCAGCACCAGGGGCACAGGACCGATGACTGCCATCAGCTAAAGACGGCCATCGAGAGGTTAATACAAGCAGGGCACCTGTCCCAATTTGTTCAGAGCCCTCGGCAGGAGGGACCTTCTCATCAGGGGCCTCCCCGAGGGCACCACACGAAGGTAAATGCTTGGGTAAACCCGAATACCATCCCCCTCGGCAAGAAGAGGGAGATTGGAAACTTGGAAGAAGAGGAGGAGGAATACCCCCACTACCAGGAGAAAAAACGCCACATCCTCATGATCACCGGTGGCAATACAGGGGGCGATTCCACCAGCCAACGAAAGAAGTGGGCTCAATCGCTTTACGTGGGGGAAGTCACTCATATGCCCCCAGTAAAGCGACTGAGGGAGGAACCCATCACCTTCACCAACGCAGATCTCCCTCCTACTTCTTCTCCTCACAGGGATGCCTTGGTGATTCGGACGGAGATAAACGACACCATCATTCACCGAACTTACATTGACACGGGCAGCTCCGTCAATGTAATGTACCTCAGCACCTTCAGAGAGCTGCATCTGGAGAGGGGGTCCCTTCGGCCCATTAAGACCCCTCTTGCCGGCTTCACCAGCGATACTATTGATTCCGAGGGGGTAATAACCCTCCCGGTGATCTTCGGCGACGGGCTCCATAGAGCCCAGCTCGAAGTGGAGTTCGTCGTCGTCAACATTGACTGCGCCCACAACATCATCCTCGGCCGGCCAGCCCTCGAGGACCTCGAAGCCATCATCTCCATGAGGCACCTCTGCCTCAAGTTCCCCGCCGAGGGGGGCATTGGCTACTCCCGGGGGAACCAGAAAATTGCCCGCGCCTGTTATCTTCAGGTCACTAAGAAGGTAAGCAAGACGGAATTCCGTGTTGACACCATCACCGGAACCGTCGACCAAGAGGAAAGAAGGCCGAGGGCTGAACCGGCCGAGGACGTAGAAGACTTCGCGCTCGATCCGGCCCAGCCGGAGAGAGTCGTGAAGATTGGAGCCCAGCTCCCAGAAGATTTGAAGACCGGTATCACCGACGCCCTCCGCGCCTACTCCACTGTCTTTGCATGGGGGCCGGAGGACATGCCGGGAATCAGCCGAAGGGTTATCATCCACCGCCTCTCGGTGGACCCTTCGGCAAAGGCAGTGCAACAACGAAGAAGGCCCCTCTCCGCCGAGAGAAGGGAATTTGTGAAGAAGGAGGTCGCCATGCTCCTCTCAATTAAGCACATCAAGGAGGTGAAATACCCCTACCTTCCGCATGTGCGTGGACTACACCGATCTCAACAAAGCATGCCCTATGGATCCATTCCCTCTACCAAACATTGATCAATTGGTGGATGAGACCGCAGGGTGTGAGATCATGTCCTTCCTCGATGCCTTCCGAGGGTACCATCAAATTTTCATGCACGAGGAGGACGCCGAAAAAACTGCCTTCATGACTCCCGAGGGCATCTTCTGCTACCTAGTGATGGCCTTCGGCCTAAAGAACTCGGGGGCCACTTACACCCGGATGGTGGCCCGGGCCTTTCAAGCCGTCCCAAGGGAAGATCTACACTTGGAATATTTTCTAAGTCCTACATATTTTCCCCCCGGTCAACTACTCTTACATCAAGAAGGGATGCCATCTCCCGAAGGCTCCCAGGGGAAAAACTGCACTTAGAAATCTTTCTAAGTCCTACATATTTCACCCTCAACTTATGAAGGGACCCAATAGCCGAAGGCTACCTATCAATCGAGGGCTACAATACACAAGGAATCAACACTGAAGAGAATTTTCTAAGTCCTAAAGAATTGGCCCCCGACCTAATCAATATTTCAGTTGGGGCTCCACAGTAGCCGAAAGCTACATGGCATGCTACACTTGCAAAAATTTTCTAAGTCCTGAACATTGGGCCCTCGGTCTAAGATTCACACATCAGGAAGGGATCCCATTTCCCGAAGGCTCACAAGGGAAAATCTACACTTAGAAATTTTTCTAAGTCCTAGGAATTGGGTTACTACAAACACCCGAAGGCTCACAAGGGAAAATCTACACTTAGAAATTTTTCTAAGTCCTAGGAATTGGGTTACTACAAACACCCGAAGGCCCCATGCTGTGCTACACTTAGAAAAATTTTCTAAGTCCTAATTATGGCTGAACCCTCGGTTGTATGTCCAGCAGAGGATGCCCAACTACCGAAGGCTTCCAAGGGCTAGCTACAATCAGAAAATACTCTAAGTCCTAAAACATACATTCAAAGGAGCGAAGGCATACATTCAAAAATACCGAAGGCATACATTCAAGAGGGAAGGAATTAGAAAAAAGAGGCCATAGATACAAAGCCCGAAGGCATTCATTCATTCATCACAACAAGGAGTAAATGTAGTTATTACAATGTTAGGCCGAGGCCGAAAACGT